TTTCTGTAAACAACACTGAAATATGAAAGATAATTTAAGATTAAAACTAAACCTTCCAAATCAGTGGGATTAAGTGAGAAGATATTGCTGAGACAAAGGAGCAGCCTTACTCTATGCTACCATGCAGGACCCATGCAGGTCTCTGACGCTGGGCAAACTGCTGGAAACAAACACCACAGTGCCGTGTTTATTCATTGGAATGGATATCTGTTCAGCCTGCTCTGATGTCTCTGCCAGTGGAAGTCTTTGAGGCAGGAGCTGCCTTTCCCTGGCTCCTGGTGAGGTCTCTGTTATTGTGGTGGTACTGAGAACAAGTATGAGCATGCCACTGCAATCCTACCTCCACATCTCAGCATCATCCTCCCAGTTGGTGAAGTGGCTTTTGCTAGAATACATGAAGTCACTAGGCAGAGTATTTGTCCTGATCCCACAAATGCATGGGGAATCCGTATGATCCAGTCAATAAGACCCTTCATTGTTTTGTCTCTCTTCAAAGCAGGAGATCTGCCTGCACATCCAAATTGCCAAAAAGATGTTTTTGTCCTCTTCTTTCTTTTTTGTAAAAATTTTCTCACACCTACAGGTTAGTAAAACATATAATCACAGCATCAAGATGAAATTTTAACTATATACTATCCTAATCTTGTCTCCACAGTATTAAAAATAAATAAATAAATGTTTACTCGACCTTCAAAATGTCCATGACAAAAAAAATAAATAAATAAAAAGCCACTGTTTTTCCTAGAAACTGTTTTGTTAAGCTGATGCTGAGACTAAGCAAGAGAAAGGAAGGAAGACAATATTACCTTTTGCTAGAGTGACAGTAAATGTCTGGTGGAGCTGTAATTGAGCATGATATTCTATGGATGCTGGAGGTAATACTGCAAGGGAGAATATAGTATGTGAGGCCAGTAGGTATAGAAGGGAAAGTAACACTTGTTCTCATTACTCCTAACAGCTCAACTGTTTACCTAAAGCAGATCATCTGGCTAGACTGCTTGCAAACTTGATTTTCACAATTCAGTGGAAAATGTTACTCTGTGTAATGCTATTTCCAAAGCCTATCATTACATTGATTGTTCCTGTAAAGTCACTGGAGAGATTAGCTGAGATTGTCTTTGATGGATGAGTAATGGTTTGTAATCCAGGATCTACATTCCCTCTCAGGTTTGAAAACCTCAGTAGCAAAATACCCCTGAAAGCTGTTGCAGATTACTTTTAGAAAGGAAATTAAAGTAGAACACAATATTACAATGTATACTGCAATATCCTCATATTGCCACTGCTGGTTGTTAGGATGTTGTCATTGCTGTTTCTTCCAGTGAGGAATATTATCTGGACCGAGCTGTTGCATTTATATCTCCAATATAAAACTCCCACTTCAAGATCTCCCTTGTGTAGTCCTAGAATTTTCCAGCCCACTCCCAGACTCTCAAGGCTGAACATCATTTTCCACAACCAACTCCCCAGTAAAACTGAATAACTGAATACACATGGAAAGCAACAACTGAAAGGGTGTGAGCAGGCCTGAGAGATGACTGCTGTACCTTGCAGTGAAGTAATAAAAAGAGGAATTTATACCTATATCTGTTGTCAGTGCTGTGTGCAGTACCTGATATGATATATGTGCGTGTTCTCTTGGCTCACATGGGGAACACCCAACCTGCATGTGCATGAAGTGGTGTACTGGGGGGTAAAGGGAAGCCTCGCTATCTGCCCAGCCCTGGTCCCAGTTGAAGGAAAGAGTGTCATTCTGAGGACTCATATCCTTATCCTCCTGTAGTAATGATAGTTCAGCATGGGGCTGCTGTGGCAGTGCACCTTCCCCACCGAGTGGCTCTCTAGGAAATATCAGAAAGCTTTTGACCTTGTATGTCACTCTGCTGATTACCCCTCAAATGTGGTCTACACTGGCACAGACTCAATGTGCTTGCTGATATGAAAATGTGCTCCTGTGAGTACAAAAGAGCAAGTCGAGCAGACCACACGCCCTTTGGCACGTATGCTGGCTGCTATCTCCCACACTTGGCTGCGCAGAAAAAGTGCCTTGGAATTTCTGCAGTGGCTGGGGCCAGGCCAGGGTGTGGGCAGTCTCCATCATAACACCCGGCTCAAGACTTCTCCTTTGCCAGTAACAGGAACAAAATAATCACATTTAGAGAAATCCCTGATGGAACACAGGTCACGCAAAATGACCTGCTCGCATGCTTTCATTAAATTATTTTTCATACAAGTATAATAACTGAATAACTTGGTAATAAATAAGCAGGATTGTTAGGAGTTAACACGAAGTAAAACAATGCTTATCAGGAAAGCTAAGATCAATTATGCAGCCAACTCTCATTAGGAAAAAGAGCTCCGTGAAGAGAGAAGTTACAACTTCTTTTAAAGTGAGGATTGATTATAAATGCATATGGATATTTTTGGAACATGTTCTGGTAAGCACAAGATAAGCTGCATTAATTTTTACTGAATATCTGTTTAGATGTTAAGTAAATATTCCAATTAAAATAAGATGAAGTCTGGTGAAAACATGCTCTACACAAACTTCATACAAAGCCTAGTCATTGGGGAACTCTGTCTGCCATTGCGCTGTGATGAAAACTGGTCAGAGGAAACAGAAAACTCACATTACTCACATATGCTTAAGAGAGCAGGTTAATGAGGACCTTGGTGGTATTTCAGGACCTGAAAAGAACATGATGCCCACTGAATAGTTTTTAAGTTATTTATAAACTACATTAAAAGGAACTAATTCTCCTTAGATTACACTGGTGTGTGAAGAATTCTGTTCCCTAAAAGCCCAAAGACATTTCTTTTAATGAAAGTGTGATTAATTTATATAGACAGAATCAATTTAAAACACTTTCATTTCCATTTGTCATTATTACTGTCACAAGTAGTTGATCTGCAGTATTGAATATAGTGAATAAAGGTGAACGTTTCCACCAGGATTGTCACTAAATTATAACATTATATTGGACGTGTTTTGCAGGTTGTCTGCTTGTTAATCTTTTCAGAATTGCAGAAATATCTGCAATCTGTTGTATCTGCCCCCCCTTTGCACAGTACTTTCAGATTAAGTGGTGGAAGTACTGTAAATGCCTTAATTACTATCTTACTAGTGGCAAGCATATTAAAAATGACTTCAAATATTGCATGAAGGAAATGCTTCCAAATCTGAATGTAATTTTTATTTTATCCTATTCATATTATGTAGGCAATAATGTATCTGTAATAAAGCTGAAACACTCTATTCTTTTTATATTAGATGTAGTTTTGCAATTAGTTCCACAGAATAGCTCGAGACAAGAGAGACCAATAACAGTATTTAGCAGTTTCATCTTTAGTGTCGATCATGGTTCAAACATTACTATTCTGAATTCACAACCATCTCCTGAGACTACAGACTGGTCATGATGATGTTGTACCTTCCCTGGAGAGGTATTCTCCTTCTTCCCACCTCGCCAACACCTTTGCCTCATGCTGGGGACTGTGGAAGCCACATACCCCCTTGTCAAATGGACTATTTTCTTTATCTAGGATTGAAACACAGGAAAAGTTGGATGCAGATTGAAAACTTTTTGGAAAGGCAAAGTTAGTTATAAGGAAGGTTTCAATGTGATAATTCAGAGGAGGAAATCATATCAGTGTGAGCAAGAGCTAGAATAAACAAGCCACTATAAATACTTCTTTCCTCTTTGATAAATATTTGACTAAAGTCATCAGCTTCACTTGAAATGGATTCATATTTGACAATGCAGCCCATTCCTCCTTCTTACAGAAAAATGGCTTTTCTTGTTTTAAAAGTCAGAACTGGCAAATATGTTTGCATGTCAGTTTTTCTGTCCCATACATCAGTAAGCTATCAGGAGCTGTTATTATCAGGTGTATTATTAAAATCTAACAACATGGTTTTTATTCTCTTTAATTAAATATAATCAATTACATTTCTCTCTTTGTCCCAGTCCACTACTTAAAACTATTTCTGGAAAGTAATGCTAGTAGCAGCACCCAGAGCCACATAACCCTGAGGGAGAGACAAACCAACTATTGGCACCTTATTGCTGTGCAACAACACCACAGTCTTCACCAATGATCCAAAGGAATTTAGGTAATACACTCCTTCAACTGATTTGTCTCAAATAGGTGTGTTGGTTTTTTTTTAAGCATGGTAATGCTTAAATTTTGCAAGTTGTCAATAGGTGCACAATATTCCGCTTTGCGGTTTAAATCATAGAGCAGCTGATAGTTCACAAAGAAAATGTTGGGATTCCTGATAGCTAAAAACTACAACAGCTTAGTTTTCCTGACAGTCCTACTGGAACACTCATTTCTAAAATCCTTATCTGTACAGTGTTCTGCATAGACAAGTATTTCACAGAAAATGTGGCAAACTTTTTGTAATTCTATATATGAGGGAAGCAGAGACACATATTTAGTCCTAATAGCCAAAGAAAATGTGGCACAAATTGTTTAGCTGTCAAAAAGCCAATGTGTTTAATAGTTTTCTCGTCTCAAACTGAGTCCTGTACGCTAGCCATAAAAAGGACTCAGACATCTCTCTAGTTTGCAGCTTAAAATGCTACCACCATTAATTGCAGCAGAGTAGAAGGCATTAGAGGCTAGTGAGAATTTTGAGATCAAATATGCTTGGTGTCACAACTGCTATCCTGCCAGACTCAGCAATTCCCATTGACTTTGGCTTTGCTATGGCTGTTGATGTTCACAAATCTCCAGCTGCCCTAGTCCAGTCATGGGAACCAGGTAGGCAAACTCCCCACATGTGAAAGAATATCCGAAAATATACAACTACCAACTTTCACCGGGTAGTGCATACCACAGACACTGGCATATTATTCTGTGATGTTTTGCTGCTTGAGCCACCAATAATAAACATACTGAAAAATTAAAACCTGTAAATTCATACAGAGAAAGGTATGGACTTAGCTTTCTTTTAAATAAACTCAAAATATACACTAGGATCAACTTCTGTGTATGGGAACTGCTGAATCATGGCCTGAACCTCTGATCACCTGAGGCGAGCCATGAGTCAGCCAGAGGAGTACAGGTGAAGGCAATTCACCTGTGCTGCTGGAAGGGGTGGAGCCTGGCTGCACCCCTCCTAGACCTATTTAAGAGCTGGCTGCCAGTGGGGGAGGATCTCTTCTGGAGATCCCTTCTCCTGGTGCTTTCTGTAGGTAAGCCTTCCATTTATTCTCCTTATTATCCTAGCCTATTTTGCCTAACTCTCTTGTGATTATGACATCTTAATATCCATTGATTATACATTGTGCAACACCATGACATGTGTATGGAGCTGAATTCTTAGGAGAAACAAGCTTTCTCAAGTGTTCTGCAGTTATATTTTTTCTTGTATAATTTTGCATCTTATTCTCTATATGCTTCTGTGCAATCAAAAACAAGAGTAAAGCCTTTCTGTGGCTAATCTAGTGACCATTAATTCTCAGACCATATCAAAAGTTTGTGGATAAAGTGTTTGCTTCCTATTTTGAAGGTCATAAATTCAAATCCTGTTAATAGTCTCCCTTTATGAGATGTCTCATAGCTTATTTTCAGAAGCGTAATTGAACCTAGGTCAGTTAATTATTACTGAATTTTTCCAGCAACAATAAAAAGGGAAAGCTATCCACTAAAAACAACTTAGAAAGTAATACTTACAAAATGATTAGCAATTTAAACTGTCCAATTAAATGATGCAATTAAATTTAAGTAGATTCCTCATTAGACTAATTTTCAGTACTCATAACTGTATAAAACTCTTATAAAGCTTTTTGGGAACTGGGAATTCTGAAGCACTTCTGTGAACGTGTGTGCTACAATTAGGGCTCATATGTTTGTATCTGGTGAAAAAACTTAGGTATGGGAGTCATAAATGCACATATGGGAGATCTTGGTAGGAAAGAGTGATCTATTCTCTCTAATATTATCTTGTTTAGCTTATTGAAAGCTATAACACAGGTCTATTTCGAGTTTATTTGAAAGAATTGCCCTGTTCTATACTATAAGAGCAAATGGCACCTTGCTATGAACCAGTAATTCTAGGATACAAGAAAACATGATACAAATAACAATAAATATCTGCAGGATTTTGCATTTGAACACCAAAATTAATGTGCTGCTTCATTGCATTGTTCTAATATTTTATACGGAAATACTTTGCCTCTTCTGTCTTGTGAGACCATACACTTGTTTCTCAGGACTTGATGGTGATACACTTTTTAAAAATTGAATAACACTTGACACAGTGATTAAAAAACACAGGGAAAAAGATTATGATAAAATTACAGTTAGTAAATTAGTCTGGGTCTTCTGGTTATATTTTAGGATGTTAACGAGATTCGTAATTATTAATTGTGCTTTATTTCCTAATGCCTTCTTTGTTTATAAGCGTTGGATAGACACCATGATGACAGACGCATGGCAGTGACTAACTAAGTTTTTCCGAGGAAAGCTTGGCCAGCGTATCTGAGCACAACCTGCCTTGCCAGTGGGTGCAATTTCTGGGAGACCCAGAGAAAGCTCTGCCTTCATTACCAGGTGTGTGCCAAGAGCAAGCAGAAAGCCAGAGCATGAGGTCTGGCACTGCTCCAGAGGACTGTGACTCTGCTGGCAATGCACAGGAGTGGAAAGGATGCTTTTGCTGTTTTCCCTTTGTGAGGAGCTAAAGGCAACCATGAGACCTCCCCTCAGCCTTATTTTTTGAGGTGTCTCAGCCACGCCTCATATATCTTGTCCTGCAGACACTTTCTCATCTTCATAGCCATCCTCTGGCAACCAAAACTACACACAGTGCTCAAGGTGAGGCCACACCTGCACAGAGCAGAATGAAAGGATGTCTCTGACTCCATATTGCCATGGGGAGATTTACCTTGTTCTTTTTTCATCCAATTGGTAGTGTGCCTTTCATATTAGCCCACAAAAATCATTATCATGTGCCCAGTAAAACTCCTCTGTAAAAGCATAAAGTCTTCTACTTAAAATGTAGGTTTTGATATGCTATGTCTTTCCTAACAAAATTAAAATTAAAAAAGTAAGAAATGCCGTGAGTAAAAAAAAAAAAAAAAAAATCAACGACATTCTTTCCAGTAGTGACTTTCAAGCTAAAGCTAGGATTTTTTTTTTTTTTTTTTTTTTTTTTTGGAAACTCACTTCACAGCATTTCTCACATATTAAGCCCTAAGGTGAAAAATGTGTTTTAATTGTTTTGTGTGGGTTAAGTTAAAAGACTTTAAACTTTCTCTCTGCTTTCTACAGTTATTCATTAAAAAATTATCTTTGTGTAATATGCAATAACAGAAACAGAGCACCAGCAATATGGGGCTCAAGCCCAGCACAGACTTCAACACTGAGGGGAGAAGGCATCAACTTTTCCATGTTGAAGGAACTCAACGAAACTCCCTGGCAAGGTTTGTGTAAATTACTCATACACGTGTTTTGCAAATTAAAGATGTCAGTAACAGGTATAAATAGAGGAGAGAAAGCAGCTAGTAATTCTCAATTTTGTTGACTGTTTCACAGGAGAGGATTTATTTCCCACCTGTGATCTCATTAAAAAAAATCTGAAAATTCCCTTTTGTTATGTCTATCATGTGCAATAATGGCAGAGGCAGAAAAGAGAGCTGCTGTAAGGTCTGCTTTTTCTTGTCTGTAGTGAAAGTGGATCTGTGTTGTAGTTTAAGTTTACCCTCCTGAAGGGCTTCAAATGGAGGACCTCCCTCCAAACTGCTGGCTAGCATGACAGTCTGGATTGATCTTATGCACAGAAGAGTATGAAAAAAACACTTAAATTCTTCATTGCTGATCAATTTTTATCAGTAATGGAAATACAGACAGCCCAAGGACAGCGAATGGCACTTCAGAGAGCTCCCTTGGAAGGCAAGAGCTTTTTTTGCACACCTCTGTAAAATGCCATCTGCAAATCCACAGTCAGTAAAGGTAACTTCAGTGTTACATTCTCACTGCAAATCTTAAAACACCTTTTATATCCCCAGAGGTATCGGACACATCCTGTGCATTTGATGAAAATTCATTCAGTTTGTGAGTTAACAAGCTTTCTTATCTTTTAGACTTAATTAACATGTAGTTTTATCAGCAACTAAGTTGTTTGCAAAATCCAGACACTCGCACATTTTAATTTACAGCACACTATTTATCAAATAAATTTTCTTTTTCCGTTATGTGAATGAGTGCTGTATGATTGCTTTCTTGTCCAGAACATGTTTTAAGTGGCAGAAATTAAAGATGATAGGCTAATAGCTGAACGGAACAGAACATAAGCTGGGAAAAATTACTCACCTCACTGCCTAATTGAACATTCAATTAAGAAAATAGAATTTTTTTGTCCTTTTATTTTATCCTTCTTTTGTTCTCTAAACCACAATTCAAAGAGGTTAAAGGAAGAAATTTTAGAAAACTTGGAACAAGCATATTGTATATACAGAAATCTTTTAAAATTCATCTGTGCTTCTTTAATCTTGATGTGGATGATCATGACTAGGGTTAAAGAATTTGTCAGGCACTTGAAAAAAGAAAATACATGATCTGAGAAAAAAAGTCTTGGCCTTAGTCCTCCTAGCAGCAGAAAATGCAAGTAAAATCTAGAGCAGCTGCATTATGTTATGAAGTAAAAGTCTCAATATTGGTCCTATCAAAGCCAATTATTATAGTCCTCTATCAAACTATGGCTATGATTATGGCTCTCTGAGAATAAATTGATTTGCCATTTTACATAATCTGTGTTTATTTGTGAAATCAGTATCAATCTGTTGAATGACTTCAAATAAAACAATAACAAAAATTTAATTAGACTGAGCAGTTGAAAAGAGCAATTATCACCCCATGGCTTTCTGAAGAAAAAAAGTGCATTTTTATCTTAGGAAATAAGAAAAATTACAGCAAATTGGTTTCTAGTATATTTACCGTAAAAGGAAGAAAGCACACTGAAAAAATATGCTGCAATGAAAAGAATTGCTCATAGATTCTAAGGTAGTAACTATACTTTATTGTAGATGTTATTTACTCTGCATCCAGTAGTACTTTTGGCAGCCAATAAAAGCAAAGAAAAAATGAACAGGTTGGTGTGGGATGCAATAAATGGAAACTATGAAAAAACTGCTTGTGAAAAACAATCAGTTACCATACTCATATGAATAAAATTAGAGATATTAATTTTGACCACAGATAAAAACCTTGCTTTGAAAACGTTGAAGTAAATAAATGCAAGGTATTAAAAGTGCCTTCTGACTGCAGTCTGAAGTAGAATCAGCTTCTTTATGACTTTCATCAACTTTTAACCTTCACTGGTTTCCCATTTCCTATATTTCTGTTACAAAATACATCCCAACTTCATGGTCACTTATGCGTAACAATCCTCACAACCTTTGGCATGTACTACTACGGGGAAAAAGGAAACAGGTTCTTAACTCCTTAAGAATTGAGTCAACACACCCTGTGAAAACAAAGAATATTCAAGTATGAAGGAAGAGTGAAAATGAAAAACAAGCTCATGGAGACAGAGAGAAGTCAATCATGCAAGGCAATAAATCTACTTTGGAAAGAGGAGAACCTATGAAGTCTCACATGGCTGGAGGCAGTACTAAAACATGAGCAAGACCATAGCAAAAGAGAAACAAAACAGTTAAACCCAGTGCTTTATATTTTGACCTTCCTTTAATCCAGTAAAATGCCAATCATCAACAACATTGTTTTTAAAAGACTCAGGAAAACTTTAAAATCTGACTTGCATAGATAAGAAACAGCCTTGTAAAGTAAGCCTGAACTAACAGTTTAAAGCTAAAGAATAGGGGGGCCCAGATTAAAATTCTTGAAATGTTGTTAGGTTAGGTCCATGATTTTACCAGCACCTTGAAAATGTTCAGCTTTCAGGTATCTTTTGCAATACAAAAAGTCCATAGAATGTGGCTGAAAGCCGAAAAAGTGGCTTCCACCCACTCCATACGATTTCAGATGTTGTATTTAGTGATGATTTTTTCACAGAATGGGTGAACAATCTTAGGAAGAGCAAAATTCCCCTGCCTGAGAGCTGCAACCTTTACACTATTATACAAACTCCTCTTTCCATTTGCTTTCTTTCTATGCAAAACAAGACTCAAGTACAGAGCATGGGAAGGGAATGCTATTGCTGCTGGACTTTTCCTGCCTTTGTAGAGATGTTTTGACAAGAGAAGTCGTGATCTGACTTTTTTGTAGCTTGCAATTTCTCCCATAGGTCTGCTTCTTCACAGCAGCCTAGAAATCTAGAATCTAGGAGCCTGATCTAAATACAAGAGGGGGTTGAAATCAAGTTTCTGATGACAAATGCTTGAATTGCTGCATCTGGCTGCATTCAGTTACACGTGGTATCAGACTGTTTCTAGGTCCTTGAAATTCTTTTCTCCTTGTCTGTCCTGTTTCAAAGCCCAGCTGCAAATGACAAAGAAGATAATTCTTTGCAACTGGAAAATCAATGTAAAAACATAAAGTAAAGCTGTTTTACTAATATGGGTATAGCTCCAGGGGTCCTCTAGAGGTGACAAAAAGACTACCAAAATAGCTCTGAAGCACTTGGGTTTGTTGATTACCTCTCATTACGTAAAATTAGCAAACCTAACAGTAAATCACTCCATTCTGAGCCCTGGGCTAGGTAGATATATACCATAAGCACATCTGAATCTCTTGGATTTGTCAAATAACTCTTTCAAGGCTATTGCTTGTGGCAGTAGAAGTTAAAAGTATTTGATGTTTGAAGCCTGTAAGAGTTGTCTATCTTTCTATTCTACTGTTGCATTACCACGGGAAGGGTGCTCTGGATTCAGAGGATAGTATGGAGACAGGAGTTGGACTTAATGATTTTCATATGTCCTTCTAACTCAGGATATTCTGTATTGTATGATAACTGCAAAATCTGATTTCTTTTAATTTTCTCATAAAAACTATGAAGTTCTATTTCAGTGAGACTACAAAGTCTATTAACAAGTTCTCTTAAACTAAGATTACTGCTTACTGCAATACCTGAGAAACTTCACCCTAGAAACTATCAAAGAAAAAAAAATAAACACAAAGCTAAGAGACCCATTCTGCTTTTGTAGAAGAAATGCTAAGTAGTGGCTTCGAAACAGTGATTGAGCACCTGATGAGAAGGCAGGGCCAACCAGGGGAAGCTCAGGTGCACACAATACATCTGAGTGACCAGAAGGGGTGGAGCCCAGATCCATTTCTTCTCAGCCCTCATTTAAGGGTTGGCAGTGGAGGCTGTGTCTTTGGCTGTTGTATTTGAGTATGTCCTTGCTTGTTGCAACCTAGGATTTTGCTGCTCTGCTATCATTGTTGTGTTTTACATCCTGTTACAGATCTGAACTCTCCTTTTAAGAATTTTAATGCTCTGCCTACCAGCACAGTTGAAGGGCATATAGTTTAGAGTCTTCTTGCAGGTGTTGTGACACATATATAGTGCACTTGGGACAGGTGAGCAAAGAATATTTGTGAGGATGAGGTAGAGTGAATGGAGAAGCTCTAGTATGTAGTTATGATTAGAAGGACTGTATGCCAACTTGAATTTCTTCTGCTTTAATAAGAAAACTTGGAAAAATGGGGTTTTGTGAAATAATTTGATTTCTTGTTTTCTTTTTCATAGCAGAACTGGTTTTAAAAGTTTTTTTTTTTTATATGTGATTGTGAGAATGAAATATGTTTTATCTACTTTAGACTCTCTTATGGCTACCCTCAAGGGGAAAAAACTGCAAAGAAAAAATGAAGATAGTGGTAGCAAAAACAAGGTAAGACTAATAATCTGTGCAACTCTTAATTTTATGACTGATTTATGCTAGGAGGTTTCTTTTGTGTATGATCTGAGGCCTATTCTATGTATGCATTCAATGTTTGTTTTATCTACCATAACTGTTTTTGGGCTATGCAGTGATTAAGGTTGCATTTGGGAAGTAAGATGTTAAATGCAGGATTTAATTGATGTAGAGGGAAGTTATAATATTTCTTTATTGTTATACTACTCATTCTAGTCTATCTCTTGATGTTATGATATTAAGTAACAAAACAGCTTCTGTAAAACTGGGACATAAGCTCAAAGAAATACATGAAAACAAAGCAGTTTTTGTAAATATAAACTTTTTTATATTCTGTGCGTAGTAAATGTTGTTTTTCTCTGATCTGAAGCAAGCATGGAATTAAAAAGAAAGCTATTAGAAAGGGCTATTTCATTAAGGCTCTATTTTTTTCATAAAGCTTTCATACAAACATGCCAGAAATTCATTAAAGTTCAAATGTTTCTTTGTGGACAGAGTGAGTAAATTAAAAGTTCAAGTATGTGAACCATCTGTACTGCATTGAGAGTTATAGTACTGTGCTGGGAAAATTAATAATGAGCTTTGCATTAAGTAAAAATATGAATTCTACCGAAGTTCTGCCTATTGTCTGGTCCCTTCAACATTTGCTATTAGTAGAGCATTCCCCTTGGCCTTTTTTAACTCTTATTAGAATATTATACTTGCATGGCCCCATAATTGCTTTGAAGGCCTTACAGAGTGAAATGTAATGCATTTTACCTTGTATATTGATTTCCTATGTTCGTAGCTGAAACTGAAAGAACATAAAAGACATACTGCTTCATGAACTTGCAGGCGAAACTTTAAATGAAGAAAACAAATCAGGCTGGAAACTCCACAAAACAAAAAAGTTCTTACCAGGTTTTCACTCATGCTTGTAATAAATATATGACAGTGTAACAGCTGAACTTAGTCTCTGGTACTTTAATAACTTTTGATGCTTTTTGACCTTGAGGGAAAGGCATGGGAACTTGAATACCAATGGGATCAGTGTGCCTGTTTGAAGTTATGCTGTGGATGCTGCCAATACCCCTGCTTAAAGAGGCATTTTTCCAGAAGTGACTGAGAAAGAGAATGAGCTTGCATTGAGCTCTCACTAATGGACTGCAAAACTTTAATCTTGAGGAGGAAATTCCTTCAATTTGCTCATTTGGCAGATAATAGCATGCTCTTTTTATTTACTTTGCTTAGTGGCAGGGCAGAGGATTATTACTTGATGTAATATGGGTTCAGTGGTATGCTGATGGGTAATAGTATAAGATAGTTTCCTGCTACCACTTCATCCTACTGCAATTTGCATGGTTGATGGGTTTCATCAGTTTCAAGCAAATATGAGGAGTCTGGGTGTAGAAGGGCTGTGAGCTGAAGGACCATCAAGGACACTTATAGAGATGGATAAGTCATTAAATAGGAGCATTCTCCAAAAGGAGTAGTCATGAAGGGGGATATGCTTACTATGCAATCTAAGAAAGAAGTAGAAATAGTAGATTTAACTTAAGCATTTTGAGCTATACAGATTCAACTCTTGTTAAATCAGAAATGCAGGCTAAATTGATACATAGCAGAATAGTTCAATCCAATTTCTCTACTGAATTTTGCCTTTAAGAATGACTTTATCTTGTTCAGTAAAGAAACAAAGAGGGAAACTCTTGATTGTTTTATATTGTATGTGTTTTGGAGGTGTGAGCTTCCTGAAGGAACAATGTTTCTTCCTTGACTGTGACATTAAAAATAAACAAAAAACCCCACCTAACTTATTTTCATTTACATTCCTGAAAAACTGAGTATATTTAGTAGAAAACTTAGGTTTGTTTGGGTAACTGATGTCAGCATAGTTTAAAAACTAAAACATAATAGTCATAGCTCTAAAAAACACATCACAGCAGAGCACTATAGAAAAGGGAACTAATCTAGCTCATGCAGGAATGAGAATTTTTAGTCCAGTGTTGCTTAGGAAGAATAGCTACTGCTTGTAGTTTTCATTCTTCACAGTTAAGTTACTTTACCTTAAATTTAATATAAATTCAGACTGTTCTCTGAGAGTATAGTCATTTGGTGCAATCCAAGCGTCACCAAGGCTGCCCTGTGAGATCCCTGTTGTTGTATCCATCAGGACTCCTGATTTTTTCTGAAATGAAAGATTTTACAGGCTGTATGTAAAGCCTTACAAAGCTATATATTTTCGTTAAAATAAATATTGGAGGCATAGGAAACTGGTGCAGAGTTTAAACTCTGGATGAAATCTGTGTTATGCAATAGTTACTGGGAAGTTTTGAAGAATCAAGGAATATAACATGAAAGCTATGACAGCAATGCTATGTGACAGGTTCTGCTTTAGCTGTGAAGACTGCATCTGGATACAAACTTGCTCTCAATTCAAAACCGGTCCAAAAGATAAATGATAAACGAGCCAGCTTTCATCTGGCAAGCTTTGAGTATACTGAGTAAAGTTAGTCATGAGAAAAGCTTCACTGAACAAGAAAATTGCTATAAAATATTGCAGGTCTATAAAATCTATTAAGAGTAAGGCATTTCTAGACTAGTTTCTGCAGTGCTACTGATAATAAACAACTCAATATTTCTCACTCTGAGGGAATTCCTCTTGCTCATTAGTTGAGGACCATGATTCTATGTGCCATGCTGCTCCTCAAAATACAGACACTCCTGAAAATCCACTTTTGGAGTGGATCTGTAAACAAAAAGAAGTGTTTTATGGAAAGATTAAAGTACGGTTGTACTGAAAAGCCCAAGTAGGTAACTGCTTATACTCAAAACGACTTACCATGTAGGCATGTGTAAGTTGTGGAAGGGGGTATAATAGTTATTGCTTCCCAGTAGAATTGTGTTAGCATGAGAATGTATGAGTTTAGTAGCATATTAATTGCACCTGATGATTCATCCTTCTGTATGTATTAGAGATATTTAAGTGACAATTTCCTTACGTTTGAGTAAATATTTCTTAGGACTGGGTGAGTAGAGTAAGTCCCACTAACGCTATTTATTTTGCTACAGCAGTACCAAATCTGCATTTTATCCATTCTCAGACATGTGCTACAGAATATTTATTATTAAACAAAATTAATTAAATATACATTGAACTGACTGTTCTAAATCCTCTTTCCTATTCTAAGGGAGATTGACGCTGTGAAATATGGCAGCGTACCAATTTTTAATGAAATGTTTTTTGTCTTGAAGTCATACACTTTCCATAGCTCATTGAGATTATCTTACATAATTTGGATAATAAATAATGTGTATTCTAACTTTGCTCAAGGACTGTTGGCAGATGGAATTTGATTTGTAAGACATCTTTATCTTTTGTCTACTTACACTTCAATTGCTATCTGAGCAGGGTTCTTGTATGATATACTTTAGTTCTTGCATTTCAACAGTTTGTTTTTTTGAGTAAAAGTTGGAATGCAATAATGATTTACTTGATAGAAATCATCTTCCAAAATTAGCATGGTCTGTTCTATGTTGAATATTCAGCATAATATTAAATAATGCAAGGATCAGTTAAAAAAAAAAAGTGGAAGGGAAGAAAATTCATGAGGCCAGCTCATGAAATCAGTTCGAATATGATCTTTTTAATTAATCTCATAGAACTGCAAGGTATAAACAAATGAAGTACTTAGGCTACTGTCTAGGGTTAAAAGAATTTTCTATATCCTTAGTTAGGTTTTTCTATATATGTCTGTGTTACATCTTCCCGTGGAGCCCACTCAGGGCTGGAATGTTCATTTGTAATGCAGTGCTGTTATACCAATTTTTGATTGAGGTTATTATTGCACCTGCATGGGGAGACTGAGACATCAAAGGCATGAGACATGAAATACATGAAAGGGAGAAAAACAGTAAATTTAAGGATTTGATTATTTGTGTAAATTATCTCAGGTATGGCATCTCTCTTTGATGTAGTTGGCACAGCAAAAGGTTGCGAGGTCACACTTTAAAATATAAACTGCTTTCCATATCCTCCATGTTCCTCCTCCACAGCAAGATTTTGGTGCAGTGCAGTCCCACTGCCTTATTTTCTCTCCTTTTCAGAGTTTCCCTTCATAGCAGTTGCTCATTCATTATTTAATGGGTCTGGTGAGAGTAGTATTGGAAGATGATGCTGTAAATCTCAGTCTTTGGTTACTGGAATCCTCAAATATGGTTTTATAAGAGGGCATGTCAGTAAAGCTGCAATCTGCCTCCTGAGATTTTTTTTTTTTTTAAATCAATCTAGAAATATTGCAAGTGGAAGTGATGACTTGCAAAACCAGACCCTCACTGAAGATGGCAGTCTCCAAGAAGGGGTGCACTCACCTGTGCTCTGATTGAAGCTGGGAGATGCAAGCAGGGTTCCTTGTGCAGAGGTGTAGCCTCGTGTCTTTGATTCCTAGTCTCCTCTATAGTAGATCAGGAATGTTTTGTGTTTATGAATGACAAAGTTTGCTGGTATTCAGCAACTTAAGCATTTATTTTGATCGTACTTAATTGGTATAGCCCTACAGCACTTGCTTAAGCTCATTAGCTGCTGTAGTGTTATAGGATACCATTATAACTTCCTCGAAAGAGCATGAAGCTTTGTATAAAGATCTCCATTGAATGAATTTGGTAAATGCTCACATTAACCACATGTCACCATAGGATTTATTGCCTGACTTAGTAAGTTCACTGCAAATGGCTGATTTGCAATGTTTAAATCTCATGTATGGCATGAAGCACACATGTTCAAAACAAATCTGTTATGGGAATCTTGTTGAGAAATGATTCCATGTTACAGCTCAGGCATACTTTGTGCTTATTTCTGCAAAATCCTACTCGTAAAAGAGATTCTGGTGAAGTTAGAATTTTTTTAATAAAATGCCTCTGACATCAGTATTTTAAAGCTGTGATGTTATTCTCGCATCACATTTCATTACACAGAAAAAAAAAGTTATTTTTTTAAACTGAAGTGTATTTCAAATAGAGTTTCAAGGTCCTTCTGCTGGTTTTTTTTTTTTTTTTTTTTGCACTCAGTATAGTGATGACAGTACATCAGCTGTGAACTTGAAGGAATGAAGATATTCCTGAAGTGGAGGTTCTTAGCACTTTTGTCTTTATTATTTTGTCGCTATTATTCAATATGTACTAGTGAAATACTAATAATCCCTCTGGGGAAGCAGAATTTCTAAGCTCAATTGTTTAACATTTGAAAAAAAAAAATAAAATAAAATAAATGCATAAATGAACAGGCAAATTACCCACAGGGTATCATGAATTAATTTATCCCGTGGGGCTGTTCAGTGGATTAATTAGTAATGCTTGGTGAAATAGTCACAATTAATGTACTTTATTAGCTGAAATATTTTTCCTTCCCTCCCCCCATGAAATTGCCTACAGAAGCCCGTAGATTTTTTTTTAAATGTGTGTAATTGGGATAACACCCCATCTGGATTTAAAATGCTTATTCAGTGAAGCAACCTTCCTGTCTGCTCTGTGGCATGGAGATCATGCAGACTGCAGTCCTAAAACACTGCTGAAGATGTATCCCTCTGTTTCTTTGTCTGCCTTCTGAGTTAGGCGCTTAACTGTAGGAGCCCATCTGAATTAATAACATCTGAGTGTGCCCATCTCCAGGGCATGCTAATGTATTGCCCTCTCTATGAAAGAGGATGGTTGTTCACTCAACCTGCGGAGTCTGCTGTATAATGTTCTAACTCCTTTCTTGTGCACTTTTTTTTTGTCAGTGGGAAGTAATGATGAACTTCAATAGATTGTGCATCTGAAAATTAATTTTACTATTGAAGTACAAGTGATCAGCTGTGGCATGACCAATATAACTCGATGAGATGGAAAAAATTGATTATTTCAGTCAAAAAACAAAAGCTCTGAGGTAGCATTTTCCTCTGCTATTGATGGAAAGAGATATTTTAGATCAGACTATTAGCAATTTGTATCTTAACAGTATGTCTAGAATTTCAGGCAGCTGTGAGAACTAACTGCGATTTCCTATTCCATAATAATGCATTATTACTTAAAAAGAAAAACTTCAAATGCATCCTGAGGCATAGAAATTTATCCTGTTTTGAATAAAAATAGCACAAAATACATACAGTAAAACAGGAAATATGTTCTTTGAGCAGCATGTTTCATAAATCTTTGGTTCAGTGAT